GCTGCAGGGGCTGCAGGTCCATTCTGGGGTGCTGGGGGACACAGTGCTGCTGACAAAGCTGCTTTGGAGGGTGGGCAGCTGCTGCCTGTCGAAATAACTCTGCAGCTGGGAGTCTGTGGGCACTTGGAAGATGGAGATTTTACTCCATAAATGCAAACCAAATAAACTGTAAACCTATTCATGGTCATTTTGAAACATAAATTTTAAGGAATTTATATTATTACATTACATTACATTACATTACATTACATTGCATTACATTACATTACATTATATTATATTATATTATATTATTACATTGTATTGGATGATATTACATTATATTACATTATATTACATTATATTGCATTATATTACATTCTATTCTATTCTATTCTATTATTGATGTAATACATTGTAATGGAGTGCAATATAATGTAACTAGTATATAATGTAATTAGTATAATATAATGTGATTAATATAATATAATGTAATGTAATAAATATAATAATATAATATATGTGACTGACATATGATATTACATAATAGAATGTAATATAAAGTAATAAATATTATATTCTAATAATATAATATAATCTATGTTATTGATATGATATAATACATTGTAATGGAATGCAATATAATGTAATGTAATAAATATAATGTAATTAGTATAATAGACTGTAATGTAATGTCATATGTTTAATACAATATAATGTAATGTACTATACAATAACATAGTACCAATAAGATACAAGAACAGCAATAATAATAAACCAATGCTGACGGTGGCAATACAAGAGCAGCCCCAGCAGCAGCCCTGGGGGGTGCCCAGAGCGGAGCCCCTCCCGGTGCCCAGCAGCTCCTACCATGGAATCCTTGGCGCTCTGCAGCAGCCGCTCGTGCTGCTCCGCTATGGCCAGGGCGGCCGAGTGCACCTTCTGGTAGATGGCCTCGCCCTCCCTGGTCTGGAAGATGAAGAGCCCTTCTCCCGTGTCACACATCCTGCAGGGCACAAGGGGCAGCTGTGGTGGCAGGGCCCAGCCCAGCTGAGCCTCCCCGTGCTGCCCCTGGGCTGGGGGAACCGGGGGGACAGGGTCACTGCCACCCCCTGGAACAGGGTCACTGCCACCCCTCTGCTGGGGGACAGGGTCACTGCCACCCCCTGGAACAGGGTCACTGCCACCCCCTGGAACAGGGTCACTGCCACCCCCTGGAACAGGGTCGCTGCCACCCCCTGGAACAGGGTCACTGCCACCCTCTGGAACAGGGTCACTGCCACCCCCTGGAACAGGGTCACTGCCACCCTCTGGAACAGGGTCACTGCCACCCCC